CTTATTTCTCCAGTAAGGGCTAGCAAAATCTCCACTTCAGTAGCACTTAAATACACCAAACTGTTTTATTCCCATATGTATTCTGAAGGTTTTTACAGAGGGGTTTGTTCATACATCATTCGCCTGGTTTGTATAACCTTTTATTCCTAAAAGTATGGTAATTTTATTTTTCTAGCTGTTGACATTTTTTTTAGATATATATATTGATAAGTGAGTGACAAAAACAGATATCCTAAATTCCCTCTGTAAAAACTTTAAATATGTCAACAAAATAAAAAAGAATTTAGAACCTGGCTTTATTCAAATATTCTGATTTCTGAGTTCTAGAAATGTACGCAAATCAGTGCATATTTAATTAGATGTGACTTTATTTGCATATTTAAACTACATTTCAGAAAACTTGCAATGCAATAATTTATCTGTACATATGGTTAATAATTAAGTTGGAAAATATGGTGATACATAGTATTTTCTTTTCTATTCACCTGCGTTATTGCCTTACAAATTATTTTATCCAAAGTGACACGAACTTTGCAATTGCAAGATGCTTAGGATTATAGTTATGATAAAACGATTTTTTAGGGGATCACCTATACTAAGAATGCCTTTAACCTGCCAAGATCTGAACAGACAACCCATGTGCAATATGTTTCTTTGGTGCTTCGTGTTATGGCACACACACACACTGACCTAAACAAGAAGTCATCTGATCTTCTAACATGCTGATATGACAGTTACGAAAACAAGTAAAAATGCATGTTATTGTTAACAGCGAATTGAAAGAATAAAATTGAAATGAGATTAAAATGAGTGAAAATGTACCTGATGTAAAACCACATTGGTGTCTGGGATTAAATAGTGAGGATACGAGCACAGGTTGCTCTCTATGCACGCGTCCTCTTGTAGCACTGGAGCTTCATCTTTGCACTCCTTACAAACTTCACTTCCGCACCAGATGTCATCTCGGAGGTAATGTTCGCGCACTATTTTCAACACTCCACCAGAGCGGGTCTTCTTCACAAATGTTTTGGATTTTAACATGGTCCAAACTGTACCGACGGTGGTTTTGAGGAGCTGTTCCACCAAAACACACTCAGATAACCCACGTGTGTGTGTACCAGTGCGCCAACTAAATATTATTCCGGAGTGATTCAGCAAAGGCAATGGGTTATTTACCTTATTTTTGAACAGCACTGCACTTAAAATGCACATATAAAACGACACAAATGTATTTGTTAAAACTGTACACTATCGGGAGGCTCCAAGCAGCCTGAGTGTGTTTTGTAGCTGTCCCCTTACAGTTCCAAACACCCCAAAAGGTACTGTCTGGCCATTTTGATGTTCACAATGGGGTGGAGTTAGAGCTGAGTTGGTCTTCTCTGTCTTTACCATATTACACCACTAGAGGGAGATACAACACTTACTATCCAAGACGAGGTGCGTCAATGTCTTTCTTTTACTGTCTATGGTCAATGTGTGTGGGAAGTGCGGCGGCATAGCTAAAATGTATCATTTGACTTGTCCCAATGTTTTTTTTTTGTTTGTTTTTTGTAATAGACACTTGAGAAAATCTATTATTTTGTCCCTGTGCTATAACAGCTCCCGATTTGCTTCATGAATGCAATACTGTTCACAGTTCACACTGATTTGATTCTCCTGAACGAGGCAAAATGCAAATTTTGTTTTAGTAATTTTGCAATGGAGCATCGCTGAAAGCGTTTTGTGATGCATGCCACAACCCTCTTAAATGGCTAATTTGAAACAACATTTAGTCCTAATTCAATTTAAAGCTGTACAACATTCATTTTTTTTAATGAATTGAATTAATATTATTATTTTAATTATTTATAACTCTAACCTTAATCTTTTTATTTTAAAGTCGGCATTTCCATTTTATAGGTGAAACAAAGGCAAAACCAGCTATAAAGATTTTATCATAGCCTCAATTCGACTGGCGCATGGTTTATAATGCAACCTCATTCTATGATGGCTAATTATCAAAGACTATATATCAAAACTATTTTTTTAAAGGTTTTGACATAGGCTATTTGCTCTTTTTTCTGTTTGTTTTAGGGCTCTTAGCTCTATGCATTCTGCATAGTGCTAATAACTAAATCTATGTGTTAAATAAAATGAATCAAATTTGTTCATGAACGATATGAGACCTACAGAACTGCCTGCAAACAAATATGATTATTTTCATAAATACAAACAATGTGTAATACAATACTGGACATATACATATTTTCCATAACATCTCTAGTTTTTATTGTAAGATATTTGTTTTCAGAGCTTAAATGTGGTTGGTCATGTTAAAGTTTAAAGAGCTTAGCTTTAAAGTTGGGTTGTGTTGTTCACACATCATCAACATTCATATAATTATATTCAGATACACACATGAGTCAGAGCTCTAGATCAGTAGAGGGCAGAATAAATTCCTAAATGATTCATTAGATGAACCAAAAGTACCAACCAAACAATCACTAAACATTCGTAGAACTGATCCTTGATTTGTGATTTATGAGCATGATAAAATGTATCAATGTTTTGGTTGGTGCGTGTTTCCTTGGATCCCAGACAGATAAGGTCAGAAATTACAGTCTTGTACATATGGTCTTACCCAGCCTGTTCCAAAACTGTTTTCCTCGAATAACTCACATAGCAAACAACTGCACAGCTGCCTTTATTCATGGCTCACATAACAGCCATATTTTGGGGATATGCAGTGTGCTCTACATGAACCGCATGCTATCAGAAGAAGATAAATTATTTTGCTATTTTGCAATCATACGACACTAGAAAATATGCATGAAATTAAATACTTCGATATCATGAAAATACATGGACTATCAAATTACCCACACTCTATGTCAGGGGTTTTCATTCTTTTGACCAAATATGATCATCCTCATGAGAGGGACCCCAATCTTAAAGTTTAAAAGGCATAGGCCTACATATTATTATATATTTTCACGTATAAAGACATTAAAGGTACAATATGTAAGAATTTTGTATCAAAATATCCAAAAACCACTTGCACAGTGTTATATATTTCTTTCAATTGTGTACTTACATTACCCTAAATGTTTCCAAGAATTTGTAAATTCAGAGAAATGCGCAATTTTAAATAGTGCCATATCCCTTGTCACTTGTTCGCCTGTCAATGACGTAATATCCGCGTTATCCCTGGTTTCCGCTTGTACTGCCATAGTAACCATGGTGACAGACTTGGACAGCTGTGTAACGTCGTCTAGTGAAACGCTTGTTGTTGTTTCGTTCAAACATTATGAACCATGGTAAGCAGACTTTGGGACAAAAAGAGAAATAAAACGAGGATCAATATCGGCGTGGCGTTTTCGAGATGCCGAGAGCTCCACGACCGCGACTAACTTGGACTTGACAGAGATGCCGCTCTTGCGTGTACTTTATTAAACAGGTGATCAAATGTACATAAAACAAATTAATGTTATATCTCAACATGATGAAATGTTAGAATATGATCAGTATGTTATTCTAATGTTGATCTAGCTGTCTCATCCATCCAACAAACTAACACATAGAATAACATTATAACTTTCAACACACTCAAATGCAGTTTAGTAGTGTAGACCAAGTGAAACAGCGCTGCGTTACCTCACAATTTTAATTTGTTGCATAAACTGACCAGTTTGAGTAGTAATTCAGCACTTGCGGGTAGTTCGGTAGAATTAAATGTCCTCATTAGGACTCGCGTGTGGCGCTGATATCTGTCTCTCATTAGCAATCGCGCCCTGCTTCATACCACAGTCATGTTAAAAAACATCAATGTATTCACTCATCCATAAACATTATTTCCCATAAACATAATTAGATCCATCGGCATGACGACAAATTTCATGATTCCGCTTATTCACTGCATCATAAATCTACGCCTTCGTTATTGTAAGAGGTTAGCAAAAATTACATATTGTAGCTTTAATACTGTGAAAAAAATATTATTATAAATGTGTAAAATATTATTTGGCATTTTTACACACTATGATTTGTTATTTATTTAAAGCATTTTTGATTTATTTTAATTAATTAAATTATTAAAATTGAATTAATTATTTTTATTTTAATCTAATTTATTTATCATTTATTTAAATCAAATTTCATTCATTTATTATTTTAATCAATTCGTTTTTTTATTTAAATCTTAAATATTAATTGTTTCATTAATTATTTTTTTTTACAATTCTTTCAGTGTTTTACTCTAAACTTTTCCAAGGACCCCCTAGCTCTCCCTAGCTGTGGATCCCCGGACCTTGTAAAACCCTGATCTATGTGATTCAATCTAGATTTTTATTCATGCATTATACCAATTTAAGCTTCAAAAACAGGAAAGATCTTACAGTATGGTATTATCGTATAGCATTCAGAGCGGTAATCCTTATATTTAACATCTATGCAGCTGAGAAAATACCATGATATTATGCAATCACAAATGTCTTTCTGTCTTCTGAATCCCAGAAACGTCCATTATTGTTTCAGCTCTGTCTCAGAAGTGCAGGTCTGAGGTCTGGGCTCTTGCCACCAGCAGGTGCAGAGCTGCTTTGACCTCACACCCCTCATTTAAGTTCCCTGGGCCTTGGAGCATCAGACCCCCTTTGTCTTGACTCTTTTCACACACCATATAGCCTACACAATGTACAAGCCCTCCAGATAAAATTGAGGGTTATTATGTATGGAAATAAGGCAAACATGCCTACTTAACAAGTTAATACAAAGTGCTTTTTGTTAACCATGCTCACTAGGAGTCTGTGAACTACAGCATTGATGCAGCTGGCAATATTTTATCTAAATGTAGGGATTTTTCCCTAGTAGTCTACTAAATTCTGGAATATGAGTGACATCGATTTTATAACAAAAAATAATCCCACGTCCACACTAGGGGTTTACATCAATAGTTAATTTTAATTAATAAATTATATTACTGTACTGTATACAAAATAATCTAACGTGAACACGCGACGCGCCCTACTGTTTGTTTGGAAGAGCACGTGACTCTCCTCCGTGGAAAACATGGCTGCGCCCTGTGCCGCTCAATGCTTTTACAGAACAGGTAGGTTTACAGGTTCATTTAGGAAGAGGTAGACTTTTCTGTCTAAATTGTAGAACATAAACACTCATTCGGACGGTAAGGCAAGCCAAACGGTGACTCAAACGAGACAGTTGTCGCTCATGTCTTATTATTTATAATCGCTTATCGGCAGTGTACGCTGGATACTATAAATATGAAACCCAAAGCCGCGCTGTTTTATAAGCTATACAGTCACCATAGTGGGCAATTCAGTTTAGTTGTTGATCAAGATGGGGGTTTCAACTTTTATATTTGGTTCCTCCAAGTAAATCTTTAACAATTAAAAATAAACAAGTTTAACAATTTGCTTACTTATTCATGCACTGCTTACTGTTCCAAGACAAGACAATGGAAAGGCTGGACTCATGGCAGTCTTGGAGCTCTTATTGTTCGCTGGTTTGGCAGAGTCTTTGTGGGTCCAGTAGAAGTAAATAGGGAAAGTAGCATTACAACTCTCGCTGTCTTTTCAGCCATGGCATTTTCTTCGTTTAAATTTAAATGAATTATAACCCAAAAGTGAAATGTTATGACTTATTTCATCCCTATAATTTCTAAGTGGTTAAACTAACTGTGTTACAACTCACCCTGTGTTACAACCATCCATGGCCTCTCCTACAACAGTCAGTTTTCTGAAAAGGACCTGACCTGCACATGTTTCAGTAATACAATCAATAGCAAAATAAATATCAACCAAGCAAATACATTCACCTCATATTTCTGTTTGAGATTTTCCCATTTATTTAATTGATGGTGTTGACACTTTTTTTTTTTTCAAGATTATTACCAATGAATGATTGGGCACAGTAATAAATACAGTAGAGACACATAACATGATCCAGTTGACATGACAATAATTATTAATAAGCATGAATTGGTGGAACTGCTTTGCCACTTAATAGATAAAAACTAACAAAGTAGTTTCTCTTTTTTTTACAGCATTAATCATTAAACTTACTTGACATTAATTATTTTCTAAATGAGAAATAAATAACTATTGATTGCTCACATTTCCACCATGTTTGTAGTTATGAAGTTAACCATCACCAATTTTAGACAAAAGGACATTCAGAACAATTATAATAGACCATCCAGAATTTGTTTGAGGCACGCTAATTCTAATCTAGCATACTGTTTAGGATAGATATATGTGAATTGGGAATGGTCGCCTCTGGGATTACAGAGCAATTAATGGTAATACACTGACATTAAGATTATCAGATCACATTGATATACTGCAGTCCTGAAGTAAGGATTATGTATTACAGTTAAAGCACCAGAATAAGTCTGCTGAAGTCGACCACACACATACACACAAAGGGAATTCAGAGCAATCCACATCCTTGGCCACATCCTTTGCTCTCTGCCACCCAAATTGTTGTCACTACACACACCCGCTACCCCACCCTGGGTTAACCCACTACTGCCTTTATTTTAAACCCCCTCAGCCACCCCTCGCTGCTTTTGAGTTACTCCCTTCATCAGTGGTTTTTTCATCTTTGTAACTCAACCCCTGTATAACTGCACTTATTTTGGGCTTTTGACCACAGTGTCTTCAGAAAAAAAGTTATTTCTTTTTTTTTCCCTGTAGACAAACCTCTGCTGTCCCTGTTGGTATGAGTTACAACATGTTTTTTGATGTATGATGATGAATTATTTTCATTTGTGGTTCAGATAAAAAAATTAAGCATCATATTATGAGAGCATCATTGCATGGTGTAATTGTTTGGACTATTTGTTTACATTGCAGCTGTGTTATTCTTTTGAGAAAGGGAATGGGTTTGGGACATGATTCACAGAGTCTAAGCAAGGAATATTTGTAGACCTTAATTTCACTTGGCAAAATTCATTTGAAAATTTGGTTGAAATGCCCTGCAATGTCATCAAACACAGACAACACTTTAGTCATACAGATACGAATATTATGATATACTATTTTAGTGTAAATAAATATTATGAATTACCAAGTTCATATATATATATATATATATGTATTCTATATAATTTAATTCATCAATGTGAATTTTCTATATCTAAATTAGTGCTGTGAATCAATAAAAAAACAAAACAAATTAATTGCACAGGTTTCTGTAAGTAATCGTGATTAATCACCCTTAACATTAAAATTGGTAACCATAAATATATTTTCAAATTGATGTAAAAATGTAATGTAAATCTAATCTAATCTAAATCTAATGTAAAAACTATGGAAGCTTATTTCCGCCGAAGAATAAAAAAAAAAGAAGTAATTGCGACATTTTATCTCACTCTTTTTCTCCCAATTGTGATTTACATCTCGCAATTCAGACTTTTTTTCTTAGTTGCGTGATATAATCTGGCAATTGTGAGCTATAAAGGCAGAACAATTGGTGAATTGCGTGAAGAATTGGGTGATATAAAGAATGTAAACTAAAGAATATATAAAGATTTAAGTGATATAAAGAAGAATTGTGTGATATAAACTCGCAATTCTGACTTTTTTTCTCAGAACGTTACAGAAGTGAACTTTTTTAACTTGTTAAAGAGCCAATATTAATCACAAATTATATATATATACTGTATGACTATGGGACAAATAACAGTTAGGAAAAGACACCTATTTAAATGAACATATACGTATACAAACAAACACATCATTTAAATAGGTGTCTTTTCCTAACTGTTATTTGTCCCATAGTCATAATAATGGCATTGTAATGGTCACATCTGGTGTACTTTATGTGGTGAAATAAGCTGGTTAAAAATGCCAACAGTTTTACCTTTAAACTGTGTCTCCCCCCCCCCCCCCCCCCCCCCCCACATCCTATGAAGAGGTTATCCATATACAGTCTTGTTCCATACAGTATATCGTTTGAAGTGCCCTTTGGACTGAACATTTACACTCACTATTTGGAATCACACTTGATAGCCGAAAGAGAGAAGTACACTTTGCAGAGCACTATCATACCATTTGTTCATCTTTTTGGCTGTGAATAGGTGGTTCAAGGCTGCTACAGAGAGTAGCACAGCTGCCCATCTGCAACAGGAGCTCATCTGGTGCCAACCAATGCCCACCTCGCCGATGCTTCTTCTGGAGAAAATCAAAAAGTTCCAGTGTGGTCCGGCCTGCCATAGTGCGCCCCTCTTATGCTGTACCCAAGGTAATCAATGCATCATCAAATGACACTGAGGGGCCGTTTGCACTACACCGTTTTCAACTACGCAGTTTCAACAGCGTTTTGGGGGCCTGAAAACACATACTTTTGAAAACTGGTTTCAAAGTGAACGTTTTTGAAAACGATTCCGTTATTGTCTTGGTGTAAACTACAAAAACTCTATTTTGTGAAAAGGGTGACATCATGCGCATGGTATTACATGTTCAGTCTATAGGCATGTAGTTTTTCTTTACAAAGTGACCTCGCCAACTACTGGCCTGGCAGCATAATACAGGATTTTTTAATTGTTTTTGCGGATCCCTGTGATCATGGATGGTTTTGACAATGTTTAAAAGTTTAATGTTGATTATAGTCGCCATGAAATCAAAATTGACAAATTTATTATAAATGATTTATCTGTTAACATTACTATTTTTTTTTAATTCATGTGTAATCTTTAATCAAAATAATTTCCCCTCCTTCTTGCAACGACAGCTCTTCTCTTGTCTGATGAAGTGTTTACTGGCGCGACTCGTGCGAGGGTGGGACAACCTGTCACTCACATGAGATCACAGCTATAGAAAAGCACAATGATCCAAACTATTCCTTATGGACAAAATCGTGTCCCGCCCTAAATTTTTCTTGTTCGAGAAGCCGTTTCACTCAGATGTACACCGTAATAGCGAAGAAAGGACTATCGCAACTTTCGTTTGATGCCAACTTTAAATTTGAAAAAGACTTGCTCTTTTTTTCTCAGCACATTCAGAGGCCGGACTACGTGTCATCCAGCAAAGTGCCTGAGTGGCCAGATTACATAGAGATTAAAGATGAGGAGCAGGTCCAGGGATTAAGAAGAGCATGTCAACTAGCCAGACACGTACTACTGCTGGCAGGAAAGAGTTTGAAGGTATACTCTGCACTTATCTGAAATTTGAGACTGTAATATTGAATAAGCTTGATGTGACACGTCCTTGAATTGTTTTTTGCAGACACCTCACAATATTGTTTGTTTGCCAGGTTGGCATGACGACAGATGAAATAGACTTTATAGTCCATCAGGAAGCGGTTCGTCACAATGCCTACCCCTCTCCTTTACATTATGGGGGGTTTCCGAAGTCAGTCTGTACCTCTGTCAATAATGTAGTATGCCATGGCATTCCAGACAGGTAACTCAGTGCAATTAAATGTGAGTGCTTTGTTGTGACTGAAAGTCTATAAATGTGTCTGTTAGTATATGGGTCAATGGCATAGAACAGGGGTACTCAATCCTGCTCCTGGAGGGCCAATGTCCTGAAGAGTTTAGGTACAACCTGCTCCAACACCTGCCTAGAAGTTTCTAGCACAGATGCGCAGCTCTACTATTGGAGAATAACTTGATAACATTATAGCCTTGACGTCACTGAATCGTTTTCAGAGTTGTATGACAGTCAATCACTGTTTGCGAATACCATAGAAATGAATTGTCGAAACTGAATCATACTCATTGCAAAATTTTTTGTGAAAAAAACAGATTTTTTTGTTGTAAACTCCAAATATATAGCTCACTAAAAAATAAATATTGAATGGCCAACATGTTACTGTACAGGTTGTCAATTCATGTAGTGATGATCTGTTTTCTCACAAAAGCAGTTTATTCAGCAAACTGAAGCCTTACCTCTACTGATATCCATTTGGGTTAACCTTAGAGGCTCTGTTTCACGCACTCAAAAGTACCTTGATTACCTGGTTTAGCTGTGTTTAATTTAAGTTTGGAGCTAAACTTTTCAGGACAGTGGCCCTCTAGGTGTAGGATTGGGCATCCCTGACATTAAATATCATAATAAAGGAAAAATCTTTTACAAATCTAGTTTAATGCACATGTGCCAACTTCTTAAACATTCAAAAGTTTGAATTTATTTGAATTTATTTACTCAAGTAGTGTAACCATCCAGTAAAAAGTCATATTTTACTTTTTATTATAAAATAAACTTTTTCGGGGAGTCATATGACAAAATAAGACAATCAGATTTAACTTTACCTTGTCTTAAAAAGTTATCAAATTATCTGACTTATTGACCTTGATACAAAAGCTGTGTCCCAATTCAGAGGCTGCATCCTTCGAAGGCCGATTGCGTCACAGCAGCGTGACAGAGGATTACATAATGTATTATTATGCACAGAAATGGACCACGGTAAACATATTTAGGCAGGTTGTGAACCCTGTTTTGTTTTCAGACTGTTGAATATCAATTTCAAAAACGTCCTTTAAATGATGCAGCCTCTGGTACACAGTTAAAGTCTTGAATTGTTTCCTGCATGTTGGTCACACCAAATTTTTCTGCATATATCTGCATGTTGGTCGCACCACATAACTCGCAATTACACAAAACACACAGGATTTTTTCTTTAATTCAGAAATGAAAAACATACTTATAAAAGAGTGTATGAATTGCATCTTTAATGTATTTTTGAACATCTTGGTAACACTTTACAATAAGGTTCGTTAGTTAACATTAGTTAACTACATTAGTTAACATGAACTAATAATGAACTGCACGTATACAGCATTCATTAATCTTTGTTCATGTTAATTTCAACATTTACTAATACTTTATGCAAATCTTGTTAACATTAGTTAATGCACTGTGAACTAACATGAACAAACAATGAACAGCTATATTTTTATTAACTAACATTAACAAAGATTAACAAATACTGTAACAGATGTATTCCTCGTGGTTTGTTCATGTTAGTTAATACAATAACTAATGAACCTTATTGTAAAGTGTTACCAACATCTTAATACAACAGTCCTGTCTTTGACCCATATACAGTCAATATTGTGTTTTATTTTCTAGTCGGCCATTGCAGGATGGAGATATCATCAATATAGATGTCACAGTGAGTCCTCTCTTTAAATTGTTAGTTAATTGTTGTTAGATTCCAATGCAGTTCTATTTCACGCATCTCAGTATCTGTAAATAGTGGATTTGCATTCTGTAGGTTTATTTGGAAGGTTACCACGGTGACACCTCAGAGACATTTCTGATTGGCTCAGTCAATGAACAGGGGAGGAAGTTAGTGGATGTGGCTCGTCAGTGCAGAGATCAGGCCATCGCCGCCTGCGGACCAGGACAACCTCTGTGCATCATTGGCAACACTATAAGGTCCGTTCCCACACTCATCCCAGTTTGCATCGCCGGTTGAATTCTTAACAGCATCCAGCACCTTCAAGAATGATGTCTGTGGGAAATGTTCTTTTATTCATTACATTTACCCACTTGCTCTTTTTTTTCTTGTTAAAAATAGCACATCTAACCCCTAAACCTCTGTTATCCCTATTGTGCACAAAAGTAGAAAAAAAGACAGCAATCTTGCCTTGTCAGACTATAAAGCCCTTATTTGATAGTGTAGTGTCTGAAGAAGGACTACACAGAGTTAATGTATTTCTCAGTGAGCTCCGAGCAAGCAATTACCCAGAGTGCATTGGGGTTTTTCCTGCAAAGGGGTGTAAATTACAGGTTAGTTTGTCTTGTTGGATGTGTGCATGTGTCCGTGTGTGTGTGAGAGAGAGAGCGAAGTAAATTACAGGCTTGCTCCTGCTGTCTTTGAGAATCGTAGACTCTGCCAGGGTGGATTCAGCTCCCCACAGAGACACGAAAAGATCCGCAGGAGCCTTTTCACAGAGAGAGGACATTCTCAATCACTCACATACAGTACAGACATCTTTAACAGCATCTTATTGACTTTACACTTCTAATACAAAGACGTAAATCTGCAAAATATCAATTGTAGAGATGCTGAAATTGGTTCAAGGTCAAAACGTGTACCTGAAAAAAAGTGTACTGTGAATATTTTATTATTTCTACTTTAATTTCATGGCATAAATGTGTGTTTTTACATGTATCTTGAAATTAATACATTTAGGTGATTAAATGTGAGGATTTTCATGCATTTTGTGTAGTGTAGCAATAGATATTCCGTCTGTGCCTGAGGAAGCAATGCTTTTGTTGTCTCTCTCTCTCTCTCTCTCTCTCTCTCTCTCTCTCTCTCTCTTTCTCTCTCTCTCTCTGCGTAGGATTCTGAGCTTCTACAGGGACATACACTGTTATTATATACACACACAGAGGGAACAATTACCTCTCCTTAGGAAAAAGCACTTAGACCTCTCTTTCACTCCTTCTCTCCCTTTTTTTTTTCATGCTGGCACCCTGGCATCCTCTCTCAAACTGTCTCTTTACATTTCTTTGTCTCTGTCTTTTATTCTCTCGTCTTTTTCTTTTTGTGTTATACACCTTCTTTGTCCTCTACCTTTCCCTTCCCCGAATATAATAAAAAAAACAACTACGCTAGAATGTTTCTAGTGTGCATTTCAGACACTGTAAAATTTGACATGTAGAAGGCAACTCCCTAATTGGGTGTAGACTCATTGGTAAACCAGAATTTACTTTTACACTTGAAGGGTTAGCAAAAAATGGAAATGAAATGAAGAACATTGTCATCAGTTACTCACCCTCATGTCGTTCCAAACTCGTAAGACTTTCGTTCATCTTCAGAACACAAATGAAGATATTTTTAATGAAATCTGAGAGATTTTAGTCCCTCCATTGACAGCTACACAACAGACACTTTGACGCTAAAAAAAGTTCATAAAGAGATAGTAAAACTAATCCATATGAATTTAGTGGTTTAGTCCATATTTTCTGAAGAGACTATAAAGATGCTTTATATGATGAACAGATTGAATTTAGGCTTAAATTCACATATAAACATTGATCAGTAAACATAAACCGAAGTTCAACCGAACCTGCTTGACACGCAAGAACAAACCTAATTGGTTCTTGCAGAGGCTCAAACGTGCTGCGCGACACATGAGAATGAACCTCATATGTTCTCGCACGTCAAGCGAACATACTTGAGCTTCAGTTTATCATATTGATGTGTGCGTTGATGAACGTGTATAAAAGCCTAATTCAGCCCGTTCATCATATTAAGCGATGATCGTGTTTCTTTAGAAAATTTGGAATAAACCGCTCAATTCATATGGATTAGTTTTACGATCTCTTTATGAACTTTTTGAAGCGTCAAAGTGGTAATCTGAGGGTGAGTAAATGATGACAGAATTTTCATTTTTGGATGAGCTACCCTGTTAATTGTTTAGTAGAAACTTTTATCCAAAAGAGAAAAATAAACAAGCAATGTATCATACAGCAACCAAGATAAACTTGGCTAAACATAGGCTAAATCATAGCATTCCCTTATCATCTTTGTTTCTGAATTACAGCAATATAGCTAATTCAAATGGATTCCGCTTGTGTCCATACTTTATCGGTCATGGGATCGGAACGTATTTCCATGGTCATCCAGAGATATGGCATCATGGTAAGAGTTCAAATTATTTAACGTATTATTCATTCATTGTACTTAATTGGAATCTTCATTAGCCTTGATTGGCTGGCTTACAGGGATAGTTTACGCAAAAATATGTTTTCATTATTTACTCACCCTCATATGATTCCAAACCTGTATGACTGGATATTTTGAAAAATGCCTCAGGGGTTTTTTTTTCTTGTTTTTCTCGTCCTTATAATGGAAGTCAGTAAGGTCCAATGTTGTTTGGAAACTAATGTTGTTCAAAGTATCGTATTTTATGTTCGTGCAGGTTTAGATTAATATGAAGGTAGTAAATGATGACAGAATGCTCCGTTTTGGGTGAACAAACCCTTTGATATGTCTAAGCTTTACTTATTTAGCTATTTAGTTTTTGTATTATTGTAACTGTGAAGTGGATTGATGTGATCAGCAAAGGTGTTTTACCCTTATTATCACCAGGGGTTCATACTACTTTTCTCTTTTACAGCCAATGACAATGATCTACAGATGGAAGAGGGCATGTCCTTCACCGTAGGTATGTGTGTGTACTGATCATTGTTTTAGATCACAGAGAGATCACATCAATATAAGCATGCATTTGTAGGATTTTAGGAAGTTTAACCATCATATCCCATTTTTCCAGAACCCATTCTTATGGAGGGATCCTCAGAATTCAGGATCCTGAGTGACAAGTGGACTGCTGTATCTGTGGATGACAAAAGGTGTGGTTTAATTTTGTCACCCATGCCGTTCTTTCACCACCTTTTTAATGAGAGCCCAATGCAGCCATTTACATGTAGCCTACATTAATCATTCATTACTTCATGCAAGAATAAGTGGCCAATTTCTATTGAGAATCTTCAAGAACTTTGTTTCTATTGGCTGTTGACATTTAGCTCAGAAAGACTAAGTACCCTCAGAATTTGAAGCACATTGAGAGCTAAGTGCTCTGCTATAAACTTTCCTTTAACAGCATATATTTCACTGGAGAGCACTCCAATGTTAATTGCAAATGAACTGATTGCCCTGTTGGCAGGTGAGAGCAGAGTGTTACTACTTGGTCAGTGGTTGATTAGAGCTCTGATTTTTAAGTAATATAATATGTATGATGTAATATGCATTATAAGAAAATGGATACTAACATTCATTCCTTTAATTCTACTTCTAAGGCGGTGGTTATTAACCTTTTTGACTCCAAGGCCACCTAATTCCAGTTGTTTGCGATTTTTTCTGGATAAGGATTTTTTTTAAATATATATTTTTTACTCGCAATTTCTATCTGACAAAATATTTTCGAGCTTGGCATAGCTAGAAAAATATATATTCATAAAATGTATAAAAATGCTCATTGAGGTTTAAATTTTTTTTTTTTATGACAGGTTACATTTATAATTTTTCAAAGGAAAAAACAACAACACCACGATCTCATGGCAATTCGTAACTATTTAACATTTTGGCAAATTTGTGGCTATATAGTATGAATTTGTACAATCTCATTTTCCTACGTTCTGCTTACGTTCCAGTAACGGGTATATTTAGTGGCTGGGTTAGAAGTGAACCATGCTTACATTTTTCTAATAATCGTAAGTTTTTGTAAGATTCACACAAAATCGCCACCTTGTAACATAGTTCGTTTTCCCTGTGAGAACAGGTTGGGGGGAAAAAAAGTTTTTGAGGGGGTAAATTAAAATATCTTGATTTTTAAGTTTTATCTTGACCTATTTTAATGCTTGTTTCGTCTTTATTTTAAATAATTTTAAGCCCCTCCTTTATGCCTTCTCAGAAGTTTGCTGAAACCCCTTAGTGGGACCCAGCCCACTGATTGAAAACCTGCTCTAAGTTGGAAGAATAAATCTCTCAACATGTTTACCTGTGTGTGTGTTCTCTTGTCTTGTGTGTTAATACTCAGATCGGCACAATTTGAACACACGGTTGTCATCACCTGCGATGGTGTAGAGATTCTGACTAAACTACCAGATGAAGATTGACTGGACAAGAATTATGGAACATCTTGAAGTGTGACGTGTGATCTGGAAGTTTTTAGAATAACAAGCTGTTATTTAAATAAATGTGTTTCATAACATGTAGACAATGTTTTATTTTATTTTATTAGCTTGACCAAATATCTTATTGAAACAGCTGTGCAGCTCCATTAATGGGTTTTTACATCTTGAATGAATGGGTTTTAATTACTTAATGCATGTAGGTTATTGTGTAATGAGTTTCAAAATCTCTTCACTGTTGCAAACTCTTTTGCTTCTGATGTCATCTCTGACAGAACTCATTGAAAGCACAGGGAATGAAATGTCATTATGTCTTATTATTATGGCGGGGTTTCTCCGTACATCATAATATTACTCCGCAGTAATGTAGTTAGCGCTGTGGATCTCTCGAGAGGTGATTATATTTATGGGCCATGGGTTACCGTATGAGCCATGTGTAGCTTATCAAGAATACCCTATAATCATATCTGCTTCACGACATCATTCGGAGACTGCTTATGCTGTCTGACATTTGACAGAGTTTGAATGTTGCTGCCTGAAGAAGTGCGCATTCATCCTCAGTGACAATAGCTGTGTCCAGTAGCCTATTACAATGAACTATTTGAAGTCAATTTTGATGGTATAAAAGAAATCATATTTTACAAGTAGCCTAAGCTATTAAATCGCTTCAAAAACTCGTTGGATGAAAGAAGTCAAATGACCAGAAAGTGCGTTCACGTGAGCACGAATCTCGAGCCGACTTCCACTCTGGGCTGTATCTGTTTAGTGGCTGCACAATTAAAGTTAATTACATTGTGACCCTTACTAGTTAATCCGTAGGTTCGTTTGCTGTGCCATCTGGTAAGATTCCTGCTTTTGCTTGAAACAGTCCATAGGCTATAGGTCTGGGCTAAAGAAACGCGCAGTTACACTATCACATAAAAAAGTTTACATGATCTATGAGTTTTTGTGTCCTTCATAATGTAGCCTATATTAAAATACGTATGATGTATTTTCAAGGGATAAATTATTAGGACTACAGTAGATAACAGATTTAAACGGCCATGAATGATTAGCCCGGTTATGTCTTTATTTTGAATTTTTAACTAGGCTGTAGCGGCAGCTCGGATGGAATTTCAGCCTTTAATCTTATTAGCGTAAAATACATAAGGCATAGCTTACAAAAAAACTAAACAAAAATAAAACTAGAAAGGGCAGATTATGAAGATGATGTAGCCTACTAGTTACATTATTAGCTACTATTATTATTAATCATCATCTGTAGGCTATATCTGTTAAAGGTCTAGCCTATTGTGATTTGATCACACTCTCTGGCCGCACATGGTGCCTCCAGCCTTTCTAATCTGTGCTCATTAAATCGAATCATAATTGCAGCCATTTAGTTTTTGTGCATCCTCACGCATTTTCCTCTGTCTGTCGCAATTACGAGCAGTTTCTGTCGCAGAGGGAATCTTTTCAGTCGGACAAAAGAAAAAGGGAATAGGCAGGGAATCTATAAGCGTTTTTTCTGATGATACAGCATGAACCGGTAGCAGGTGTTGTAGTCTCACGATGTCGTGATCCTTATTGACCTTATAATGTCGTATTTTCGCTCACTTTTAGTTTCAGCGTTTTCTTTCCGTATTTTCTGTTTTATTTACAGCATTTCATTATCTTTTCTTAGTGTTTGAAGTTGAAATATTGCTGAGTAGTTATTATAGGCCTATAGGCTATCTTTTCCCCCGTTTCATATGTGGCCGTGAATGCGCAATAATGATTTACAGTCAGATGGGGTTCTTTGATTTCTCCGACCTAAATGAACCAAATCAACGCCAAATCAACTTTTGCGTTACCATCGTGTAAACCTTTGCTTAGCTAGTCTACAAAAAGCTTTATCAAAAGTTATTCAAATGAAATTTTTAGAAATAATAGAAACCCCCTGCTTCATGCAGATGTAGTGGCTTTGAATCCGCGGAAGCAGTCATTTGGACTGGTGTGGTTGCAAATAAGCCCTGGCATTTCAATTACTGCCAGCTGTGAATGTTGACATAAGGAGTGAAGCAGAACGGTACAAATGTGCTACAATCATAGTCTTTGGGTTTGAGAATGAGATACCCCAAATCAGAATAAAAATAGATTGTCTTTTTCAATAAGAATCAAAGAATTCAGGGCATGTAACCACGATGCCCATATTTAGAAAAACCACGGAAGCACAAATTAACCTCAAAAGAAACAAATCATAGAATATAAACAATTAGTTACAACAGCCCATGAAACTTTATTCTTATAAATAGCTAGTGAGTAGCCTAAACTTCGGGAATACTGATGATTCTGCTGTGTGTTTGTTTGTTCGGTCGAGCTGATTGATTTCTTCCTGTAAGGCCTATATATTCTTTTCATTATGTTTTACCTTTAAAATTTAGTATTTTTAGATAATAGCCTACAAATGTTTTTGAATTTCAGAAATTAATAATAGGTTCATTCATGACATACAACATAGCTGAATACATATTCCACTTTGAGGGCCAAATCGTCCAATAAAGCAAATATGCAATCTACTGTTTGTATTTTGTATTTTCCATACTTATAATTACAGAAACGTTTAATCCCAATTTCACAATGACAAAAAGGTTACATGGACTAGATTACAGATACTGCAGAATATGCAAACATGGGCAAAGCCACATTTTAACTTGAAAGTAACACTTGGGCAAGTGGTTGTATATGCTTTGCCCTTAATCCGGATTTCCCACCTATTCCAGTAACTAATTTTAGTTCCAAAAATATTGAACGTGACTATGTAAAGACGTGAGGCGAGCTATGAGAACTGTGTGTCCCCGTACAAGAATAGCTCAAGGCTGTGCTGGAGCTGAAGCGAGGGCTCGAGGAGAATGTTTCCAGGGCGGTCTGCTTGAGGCGGTTTTATGTATTTTTTCTCTGGTTGAGTGGCGTTCATAAAACGTCTGGAAGAGGAGCGAGCTGACTCCAGAGAGTCTGGAGTGGGAAGAGCTCTCGCCGCACGCGGAACGCCCTCGCATCTCCTTCTGCGCATGCCAAGACGCGTCTGAATGCCAGAGGTAGAGGATATACCTCCTCAATTTTTTTATTATTATTATTTTTTTTTTAACAAAGGATTAAATAGAATTCGATTCGTTCAACCGAATAATCACACATGCATTAAAAACGCTATGCTATGCACTGAAACAGATTGTCTATACACAGAAAAAGTATGCATGGTCTGTAGAATAATGTTTTCTGCAAGCCTTTGCGGCCATAATTTCTTAATTTCTATTAAAACTAAATTAGATTAGTGCTTATGAACCCATGTTCTATTTACGCAGAGAGCGTCCAAAATTGTCACACTTTAGTTTCATTCACATGATTTGAGCGTTTTAAAGAAAAATTTGCCATGGTTCAACGGACGTGGAAATATCAACACACACGGTTACATGATTGTACGATCCTTCACGACACTTTTACGATCCATTGATAAGATCAAGTATCATTTTTACAGACAAAAACCGTGGGTCAATGAAAACATCCATAGGCCTACGCGATAATCAAAGAACGAAACGTTAATTGATAGTAAAACGCACATTTAATTATGACTGCAGGTTGTATAAGCATTTTAATAGATTTATCACTAAACCTATAGGCCTATATTCTGTACAACACACGAAAAAGGGCTACCCGTTTGTACTTGGAATGTGAAATAAACATCTGATTACCTTTTTCAATTGTACTATAACGAAAACAAATAAATAAATAGAAAAATAATTTAATATGCTTGTTCGAGCGCATCCAAAGTATTCCACAGCAAACATCTTTAGCAAACCCAGCCTGAAAATAGATTTTAAAGTTAATGTTCTCCTAAAATACAAGTCCAGTGACACGATAGGCCTATTATTTCCTCCTACAACAGGTGTATTCAGTCCTCTGTTAGAATATGGTCCCTGCACTCATTGCAGAGCTGTGATGAGGTTGTATTAAGGTACTGGGCTGTAGATGTGTGACCGTATTCGTGGAGGAGTACCATGAATAGTTTGTCAAGAACGATGGGGCAGTGGTGTTTGGTGGCCCCGCGGGCTGCTCTGAAACCGTGTCCCCGTCGTTCGCTGTCTGGTTCGGAGGGAAATCCCAACCTGCCTGTGGTGGAGGAGTGTTAGAAGGAGAGTCACCGGATACAATCTGCTGGTCTGCTGGAATCTCGCCGTTTTTCCACAACTTTTTGAATTTTGAGCGTCGGTTCTGAAACCATATCTTCACCTGTGGATATTCAAAACAACGCGCAAATCTAAGTTAAACAGGCAATACAATTCCAAAACAACTAACATCATTTGGGACACAGGTCTACAATGAAAATAAAAGGACTACAGAAATATAGTCTACACATATCATAGCAACAAAAAGAACCCGCGCTTTTGACCTGGGTCTGTGTGAGGCCCATAGACGCCGCCAGTTCCGCGCGTTCCGGGAGCGCAAGATACTGGGTCTTTTGGAATCTGCGCTGGAGAGCCGCCAGCTGAAAACTGGAGTAGATGGTTCGCGGTTTCCGGACTTTCTTTGGCTTTCCATTCACCATGCGTACCTCCGGTTCACTCTCTTCCTTCTCTATCAAAATTAACCACAAAATTGTCATTAGAAAATATAAGAATAGAAGACAATGAAGGTAAAAGAAAACGACGTTTGGGAATGCTGAGGTGGTCTTACCCGGTTCGGTTGGTGTGGGTGAAGAACTGGGTCCATACGTTCCATAAGCGCCATAGGAAGAAGCATAGCCTAAATCGTAAGCTTTGGGGCTGTAGTGGACATTACCCACTGTACCAGGATGATAGGAATAAGATGCCAGTTGTGCGTACGCTGTCCCTGTGCAGTGTCCTGTCTGCGCACTACTGTAGAAGCTGCTGTCGGTCACAGTTGACACCGGCAGTGTTGGGGAATCCTGCGACTTGTGAACGGTACTGAAGCTGCTCGAAGTAATATGGTTTGTATGCATATCCGAGCCAAGGCTATCCAGAACAGCGGTCATTTTTGCAGGAAAAAGTAAACTGAATTTAGGCTATACTTACCGTGACCACTTATAATGTTCAAAATATGTAGGCTACCTCTAACAATTAATCGGTGAAACAAAAATCACAAAACTTATAAAGATAGTTCGTTTTGCCTCAAGTCACATATCCATGGTTAATAGAGGGTTTGAGCTCCGCGGCGGTCTCTGCCTTGGAGATGCTGACGGGCGGGCCATATACTGGGCGTCATGTGGTAAAGCGAACCAATCGCTTCGCAGGCAGTCCTGCCAGTGCCAGCTGAAGGAAGACCTTTGACAAGTCGAAATAACAAAACATCTTGCAGCTGGTCTTAAAGGTTTTTTATTTACAAAGAGTTGATTTAAAAAAATACATTCATCTACTAAATTAATTCAATAGTCCAAAAACATTAGCAAAATAATTATGGACATTTCAAAAAGAGACTATTAAAGAAAAAAATCAAAGACTATTTGTTTTTCCAGATGGAAAAAAAAGCCCTTAAATGCACAGGAGTTTTTGCTTTCCCTAAAGTTTTAAAGACATAAAGCACGTTCCTTTCTATAGTTAGAACATTTTGACGCAGCTAATTTAATTCAATGTAATTCATTTATAATTTAAGTTTCTTGTTTAAAGGGAACCTTTTTAAGATGCCTGAACCGTTAACCTGGCAAATGGAGCATTGCGCATGTAAATTACTCTATCAATAACCTACATTTAGACATAGGCCTACTAATGGTCTAAAAGTACTATGGAATGAAGCTTACAGTCTTGATTAAAGGGGTCTATTTCTCCATTGTTGAGAAGCACGGTTTTACTGGAATGCCATCTATCGTTGAAATGTTGTCAGTGTATTCTACGGAAGCAGTCTGCATTCCTCTGACTAATCACAGACGGCGCCAGTCTACTCACACCCACAGGTGCGCAAAACAGCAATTATTGCCCGGTAAACACCGGGGATAAAGCGCGGAACCAGCCCTATATGATGCTCTGTCGCGCCAAACGCCTCGTACGCAGACCCACATAGAAAACTACCTCAGTCACGAGAACTGGCAATTTACTCAATTCTGTCAACTCAACAAACTCTGTGGCCTAAGCTTTGCCAGCTGTAATCCTCAGGTGACTTGTCTCTGCTGTGGTGCGATTTAAAAACAGAATTGTATAAAACATTTTAAACTAAAAGTATTTGGCTATTTTATAACATATTGCCTGTAGAGTAGCCAATAAAATCGTATTGTGCCGTCACTCGATTAGATTAGAAATTATTTTCTGAAGGATGAAGAATTTGATTAAAATAGCCTATAGGTGGTCATTAGGGCTAATAGTATGCAGCTAATTACTATATAGTATACAGTCAAATCGATATTCAAAAGTTTGCAGTTGAAGTCAGTCTGTGCTCTTTTCTGCTCAGGTCAGGTGTGCAGTTGACAAGAAATAGAGGCGACCTCTGGCGCCCTCCTGCGTCTTTAAATGTGAAATGGCCTTTTTAGAGATGTCTTCCGCAGTGAAGTCACCCCAAATTCCCCCTCGGAGTATGCGTATTATTATTATTAATCATATTTGTTATTATTTTACCTTTTTATCTTTCTTAGGAGCGAAAACTTTATTGTATTTATTTACAGATTTTAACAGCCACTAAACAAATCTGAGTAGCCTATCCAGTAACAAGATAGGTTATAGCCTGTGAAATGGGATAAACTAGGCTTTAACTTTAGAAGATAATAAAAGGTTTTCTAAGTGAATGCAATAACATTTTGATTTAAATTGTAGCTGTAACTGTTTAGCTCATGCAACTGAACTACATTAGTAAACACAAGATGGCACTGTTTCCTGAAATAGCCTACTATTTCAGGCAATTGTGTTTTTACTGTGCGTTAGAGGAAAGAGGTCATATAGGTTAAGTATAGTATTGAACAGGTATTATTTAGATTTAGGAACACATCAAATACAAATATCAACTATACTATTTTGTTACAACAAATAGGCCTACACTATTCAAAGACTGATACATCATTTGCACAGGCCGACTGTTTTTACTAAATCAAATGCAGAACAGATTTATTTTAATGAGTATCACAAACTATGCAATGACATCCATTAGAAAGAACCCAATAGAAAGGTCACTGTCACTACATAAAGCAAACATATTTGCTCCAACAATAGATACAGCTAGCTTTCATCAACATACATGTCAGCTTTCTTTGGATAAGACCAAATCAGCAGTAGACAAAGTTTAGATATGTACTCTCTACATGTTTTCCTAAGTACAGTTTTCTTTACTTTGTTTATTATTTTACTGTGTTCTCATCTGTTCAGTACTTTACAATCTGTTTAGAGTTTGTTGAACTTTGTTTGGTCTACTTTCCTTTCAAATAAGTTGTGATTAACCCTTTCAAGCATAGAGGTCACCAGGGGCGATTCTAGGGTCAGAGCTTTAGGGGTGCTGACCACCCAATGAGCCCCACTGCCACACCCACCCTCTTTTCACACACAAAAAAAAAATATATGTCTATTGAAAAATAACTTTATCATTTTAATATTGGTTCAACTAACTCCAAAATCCAGATTTTTTTTTCTTTTTTTTTTGAGACCTTTTCAGAACACCAGCTTAAAGGTGCATTGCGCAACATTTCATGTTAAAAATACCCATTTTTCTAACCCATACATGCTTAAACAATTGCCTGATGGGCTGAATGAGCCTTCTCTGATCACTGCGATTGCCTCTATAATCCTGTACAGTAAAATAAATAAGAGGGATTCGGGCCGGAACGTGAGACTGGGCGTGACGTCATGCGCGTTCACGCTCCCCTGACTATGTCTGGCAGGTGTGTGTATTCGCCGCCATTCTCCGTATTAGCGAAGACAACTCGAGCGACAAAACTTCAGTCAACTTTCGACAAAAGTAGAAGATGGATTCAAAGAGACCGGCTTGTAGTTCATAAACCCCAACGCAAACTCCACGCAAGACAAAGACAGTAAGGCAGTTTCGCTTGTCGCCAGAGGGGGGCATAGTTCTGCAACTCAGAGAGTCACTGTAGTCACTCGGACTATTTCAACAATGTCTTTCATAACTTTTGGGCCGGTCAGTTTCGATCCCTTAAGAAGCCTATGGAGGAGTGATCCAGCTCTCAGATTTAATCAAAAATATATTTTTGTGTTCCGAAGATGAACGAAAGTCTTACGGGGTTGGAACGACATGAGGGTGAGTAATTACTGACAGAATTTTCATTTTTGGGTGAACTTACTCTTTAATTGTGAGAGTTCACACAGACAGCCCCCTGTAACAAACACAAAACCTTCTTCACTCAGCCTTTTTTTACGGAGCCCCCCTAGTCCCACTTTATCAAAAAAAAAATTATAACTATCTCGTGGCCTCAAGATAGTAACTTGTGGCCTTTTTTCCAACGCGCCGGCGCCTCTGTGTCCTGATTATATTGTCTACTATATTTGCTTCTTATTTATTAATCCAGGCAAATTTGTTGATGAAACATTGATTAAAATGAAAATACAATTTATACAAAACGAAATTCACTTTGAATTTGAAAAGGCTTTCTACAAAACAAAACTTAATAACTTAATCATGTCTGACCCATTCCAAATGTTTTCCGATATATTGGTCATCTTGATCTTATCTTACTCATCTCATACGGTTCCCTTTTCATATAATCAACATAGATGAAAAAAAAAAAAAAAACATTATATTATTTAAACATAAATATGAAACGTATGTTTACGTTTTTTAACTTATATTTAAGCGTCACACCGCTCCGCTTTGCTCACATGCTCTGGTGTGTAGCCTATACATGCATGTGTGCGTGCATGTGGTGGAGGGGTGCGATTTTCGAATAATAATCAAATAATACCCAGCGATCTTCGAATATTATTTTTGCTTGAAAATTTCGTTTTGAATTAATTGTATCTTCATTTTAATCAATGTTTCATCAACAAATTTGCCTAGATTAATAAATAAGAAGCAAATATAGTAGACAATATAATCAGGACACGGAGGCGCCGGCGCGTGAACTGGAGCGCGTCTCATAAATGAACCGAAACTCAGCGTATAAGCTACTTGCTTATCTATAAATTGCTTATCTACTTCAATCTATAGAATGCTTGAAATGTCTACTTTTAAACAAAACAATTAAAAACTAAAAGAAATTGGCTACTCTCTGCTTATGTAGGCTAATTCATATGAAGTGTGCATTTCTCTCTATAGGCGCGTTAATACTGCGAAGATGGCGAGTCTGCATTGTCAACTTTATCTTTGCAGCCACTGACATAGTAAACACTAGTTTATTAATAAACAATTCAAATGTTTCATGCATAATCATTACTTGGTTCTTTGTGGCAAGCTTTATTTCAGGTGTTGCGTGATATCTCTGCGCCCAAGTAGCCACGAGTTACTATCTTGAGGCCACGAGTTACTATCTTGAGGCCACGAGATGCTATCTTGAGGCCACGAGATACTATATATTGAGGCCACGAGTTACTATCTTGAGGCCACGGGATACTATCTTGAGGCCACGAGTTACTATCTTGAGGCCACGAGATGCTATCTTGAGGCCACGAGATGCTATCTTGAGGCCACGAGTTACTATCTTGAGGCCACGAGTTACTATCTTGAGGCCACGAGTTACTATCTTGAGGCCACGAGTTACTGAGGCCACGAGATACTATCTTGAGGCCACGAGTTACTATCTTGAGGCCACGAGTTACTATCTTGAGGCCACGAGTTACTATCTTGAGGCCACGAGTTACTATCTTGAGGCCACGAGTTACTGAGGCCACGAGATACTATCTTGAGGCCACGAGTTACTATCTTGAGGCCACGAGTTACTATCTTGAGGCCACGAGTTACTATCTTGAGGCCACGAGATACTATCTTGAGGCCACGAGTTACTATCTTGAGGCCACGAGATACTATCTTGAGGCCACGAGATAGTTATAATTTTTTTTTTTTGACAAAGTGGGACTAGGGGGGCTCCGTAGGTTTTCCTGACCGGTCCAAATAAGTTGTGATTAACCCTTTCAAGCATAGAGGTCACTACAGTGGACATGTATTAAAAAAGCCATTTTCTTGTGTATGTATGAGCTTTGATGGCATATAGTTGCTTGCACACAAACCACTACAGTGGACACTAGTGCATCATCCTATACACTGCCACCAAGTGGCAAGTCGTTGTATGTCAAAAAAAATTCTTCTCCAAACCAAGA